GAAAAGTAGACTATATAATATTTATATTAAAAGGTAAACTATTCGATACATGTATTATAAAGTCGATCAAACGATACATGTATTACATGTTGACATGTATGATATTTGACGCAGTTGAAGATCATTTAAGGCACAGTATGAACTGCGGCTAACACCGGGCTAAAGAGGTGTGCATTAAGTGAAAATGTATTATTAACATATTTATTTACAAGTACAATATTTTTTGTATTAATGATAATCGAATTATGTAACAGCTTTTCCTAAAACTATCGTTCTTCAGACATCACAATCTTTAGAACGCTAATATGTAAAGAAATAAGTAAAAATATACGTGCATGATTATTTTTTTCTCAGAAAAGAATTTTTTTATAGAATTTCTCATTAAATAATCCATTTAAAACGTCTTCAAAATTGAAGTCTTCATACTTTTCAATTATCCAAAAACCGACTACACTTAATGGTCGATGATTTCAATACGCTACCATTCGTTACAGAATTATTATTAGACCAGGACTGAACTAACATGTTTAAATTTATCCCAAGTATTGGTTTTTGATCATTTTTAATTTAGCTTCGTGGCGGTTAAAAAATCTTAATTAAATGATGGAGATGCTTCCGTATCTAAAATGATAACTTTAGTCAAAAGAAAAGTTTAGAAATGTAATCAAGATTTGGATTGACTTTTCAGAAAAATTATTAATAGTGAAATTACTTAATTTGGTAGATAATTGATTATTATATTTAAGCAAAAAAGAGTGATTTCAAACCGCATCTACTTCTAAAAAGAAATGAATAAAAAAAATAATTACAGTATTCCGACAGATATTAATTTTAAAATATTTGTCATAGCGGCTTTGAAGAATTAGGATTTAATGAATCAAAGTTTATGAATGTAAGTCAATTAAGATCGCGAAATTATAACTTTAAAGTCAAACATAGGGGTTTGACTTCAAATGAGTTTTTACCCGCAACTATAAAGCGTATCTTGTAATTCAAAACACCACAATTTGGGGGAAATTTCATTTAGCATTATCTTTTTAACTGATAAATTTACATACATTGCAGAATCATTATTAAATGTTGGAACAAACTTATCTGCAGATGTCATAATTCCATTTGAAATGCTTGTTCCGGGCGCCGTTCAAATTCCCGAAGTTCCTAATTCTGAATTGAAACTATTGTCTCGAAAGTCACATTATCCCGTTTCCGAAATTCGGATGTGATATGATATTTTGAATTTTTCAATTTCGAGCTTCAGGATATCATTTCTTATATTTATAAATAAGCTATCAAACTCGTTAAATATTTAAATCTATAATGATTCAACTTTTAATCAATTCTCATTTGCAACTTTTACAACTACAAACGTCAGAAGATTCAAAACATAAATTAGATATAATTATAAATAGCATCCAATATTTTTTTTAGATGAAAAGAAGATTTGTGAGTACAAATGAAAAAGTTTAAACTGTGCAAATTTATTTTTATTTTATTTATGAAATTAAATCTATCGACATTATGATGATTTAATCCAATATATAAGTAATTTGTTGTTACTAAAGAACGTTTGTAAGAATCTATTAATATATCAATCACTCCGAATCTCCTGAATTCTTATTTCTATTAAAATCGCGTTACGATCATATAATATACTATGTTAGCGATATTGAGAATATTGTGAGGTAATCGAGTCGCTATTAAATTTAGAAAAGTTAAAATTAAGCTATTGGTATTTGATTCTAAATTTTATAATATTGGTATTATCATCACTTTTCAAGAGAGTATAAATATAAACTGGACAAACAAAATTTCAATGTTTATTTCATATGATATACGAATAAAATGTTCATTTTATACAAGATACCAGAAAATTATCAAGAAACTTTGGATAATATGACAAGATAAAAATTCTTTACAGAATATAATATAAAAGATACAACTAGATAAATATTTGTTATCATAAAGAGTATGGAACTAAAATATAAATAATAGAACTTAAAATTATTGGTTCTTATTTCTTTAAAATAATAAAAATATATAAATAACTTACTGCTGTTTAAATCAACATGTGTTTCTGACATAGCACTATCCAAACTGATAGATTGATTCGCTTGAATCAAATCGTTGTTTACTGTAGGTTATTTAGTACAAAGCATTTAGTATAAAAATAATATAATAATATGCATTATATAATACATACCTTCAGTTGAGGTATTTTTAACATTTATTTCCGTCTCCTTAGGATCTAAGTTCACATAAGTTGGATCATCCATAACATCTATTCCAAATCCCATCTTTTTAAATTCTTCTAATATTTTTCTAATCCTTGGTCTTTTCTCTGGCGTTGAATCCCAACACTTTTTATAAAGATCTTCATAAATTTTAGGCGTCCCTTCTATAGCCTTTTCACGAACTCCTTTAATAATTTCAATACGAAGTAAATGTTCTTCATTTCTAATTATATTTTTAAATGGAGGAACTTCGCTAGAAATTTCCCACATTAAAACTCCATAACTATAAATATCTGAAAATTTTGTATATTGATAATTTAAATCTAAAAGTTTTTTTGGATCAACGTACGGAATCCTACCAAAAGTTCCGATAATATTGGTAGAATTTTGAGTATTCATATTTTTTGAAATTCCAAAATCCGTGATTTTAGCATTGCCATTGTGAATAACTATATTCTTAGAATGCTAAATTTAAAATATATATCTTCAAATAAATATCTAAAGGATTTAATTAATATTAATTATAACAAATAAATAAGTAAAAACTAATACTTACAAGGTCTCTATGCAAAATATTTTCATTATGTAAATAGTTTAATCCTTCAGCGATTTGAAATGCTAATTTTTTCTTATTTTCCCAAGTTAAATTTTTATGATTCTTTTCAAGATAATTTTGAAGATCGCCACCATTGGCATATTGCATTATAAGAAGAAAGTCTTGTGTTTTGATCTATTAGAATGTAATTTTGTATATGTTAATATTAAAGATAAATATTTATTTATTTAACTAAATTATTAATTACCTTGACTAATACCTAAGCAACGAACAATCCGATCACTAGAATCAAGACATAAATGTATTTGCAATTCATGGATAAATGCATTTAATATGTTACCTTTAATGGCTTTTATATTAGTTAACCTTTTATAAACAACACAACTTCTAGTTTTTATCCAAGTAGCTTTCCTAATACATCCAAACCCTCCTCTGCCAAGTTCCTCGGAATTTATTAAATCGTTAAATAATATAAGTTTTACTTTTTCATTTTTTATGGCATTCTCTATCCATTCAATTGCATTATCTTTTTGATTATCTTTTTGAAAATTATCGAATTCTATATTATTTTTAGTTATTTTTAATTGATCAAGAGTTGAAACAATTTGTTGCATATTTGGCCGTTCATCTGGTTCATATTTCCAACATTCTTAAAACAAATAGATAAATTAATCATTATCAAATCAGTTTTGTTAAATAAGATAAAATAAGATTAATATTATTTACCTGTATATAATCTGCTATATTCAATAGGTGTATTAGGAAAAATTTCTTCATTTCTTTCTTGCATAATATTATTTTCATCTTCATTACAGGATGGTTGACTTCCACTTGAAATTTGCCACATCAATACACCAAAACTATAAATATCAGATTTTTTATTTAATTTATAATCTTGATCTTCTAAACCTTTTGGATCTATGTAAGTTCTAGATACTTTTAAGATTTTGTTAATATTCTTTGATAATCCAAGATTTTTTAATTTGATATTTTTTTGATGTATAAATATATTTATTGCATTCTATAATTTATATATTGATATGAAACAAATTGTTAGTAATTAATAATCATATTAAAATAATTTATAAAAAATTGATAAATTACCAGATTACTATGAACAATATCATTTTCATGTAAATAAAATACAGCACTTGCAAGTTGTATTGCTAATTTATATTTTTCATTCCAATCAAGTTCATTAAAATGTTTATCTAAATAAGAATTTAATGTATTGCTATCTGCATATTCTAAAACTAAAATGCATTGATTTATTACTAAAAATAAATTGTATATTAAAATAAATTAATACTTAAATATTTACAATTAAGTTAATATTTTTAAAAATTGATTAATTACTTACCATTCTTTATATTTGTAATCCCATAAAATTGTATAATATTTGGATGATATTTAATTATTCGCTGTAATTTTAACTATTTAATAAAATATATAGTAAATATTCTATTAAATTAAAATCAAAATTTAATTAGTAAATTAAATAATTCATACCTCATTTTTAATTTCTTCAATAATTCTAGTATTATAGCATTTAAATAATTTTAAAATAACAAAATTATTTGCATATTTCCAATTAGCACAATGAACAGTTGTAAATACACCACCAATTATTTGTATATTTTTGAATTCTGAATATTCATAATTACGAAAATATTTTTCTTGATCTATAATTTCATATAAATTTTTTTGATCCAATATTTTATTTATTTGTTCTTAATCTGAATTTAATTCATCATTAGTTATTTTTAAAAGTTCTATTGATTAAAATATATATGTTAAATTAAAAAAATTATTAAAATATATATTATAAAACTTACCAAAATTTTGACTAATTTCTAAATTTTTAATTTCTAAAATTTCATTTAATCTTTCAGTAAAACTAAGTAAACGACTTGTATGAAATACTTGAGGATGATCAATAGTAATACTTAAATTATTATCTTGATTTTGTTTTAATGTTTTATCTGATTTATAAAAATCTATAATATCATTTTTTAATTCTATATCAAAATCTTTATTTTGAATATTCTTAATCCAAGTATTAATAATCTCTTTAATTTTTAATGCAGTTGGTCTTTTTAATGGATCCATATTCCAACATTTTTTCATTAAATTTATATAACATTGTGGAATATTTTTAATAATTTGAGGTCGTTTACCTTTACAAATATCTAAACTAAGTTGAAAATCATGAGCTTCATCATTAAATGGAATAACTCCTGATATTAATTCCCACATAATCATAGAAAAACTATATATATCACTAGCTAAAGTATAAGGTTGACCTCTTAAAACTTCAGGAGCTACAAATGGTAAAACACCATAAATTTCATTTTTTTTAGATGTTTGATAATAATCTACAGGTTTACATAATCCTAAATCACTAATAGATAAAATCTTACTTCTAATATTTAAAATATTACCATGATGAAAATCACAATGAATAAGATTTTTTTGATGTATTTCTTCAAGTCCATTAATAATATTATTTAATTGTAATAATTTAATAATCCATTTATCCTTAACTATATTTGATAAATTTTTTCTCAAATTATTATTTTTTGCATATTTCATTACTACCATATAATCTAAAGTATTTGAATTTTGAGTAAATCCATATAATTGAATAAGATTTTCATCAGAATATTTTTTTAATTGACTATAACATTCATAATGATGTTTCCACTAAAATAAAAATAAATTAATTTAAAAACTTATTATTTAAAATTAAATATAATTATCAATTTATACCTCATTTAAAAATTCTTTATTTAAATTTGATGATTTATTAAAACTTTTAAAAATAACATCAATACTACTATTTCTAATCCAATTATTATTATTGTATGAATATGATTTAATAAATCCATCAATTCAAGTTGCTTTATATATAATACTAATTCCTCTTTATCAAAATATTCAATATTTTTAAATTTATCATAAGGAATCTATTCTAATAATTGCTTTTTATTTTGAGCATTTATTTGAATATTTTGAATAAATTCATTAATAAATTTATTATTACTAGTCCAATTAAAAAAATTTTGTTGAAATAAATTAGAATAACATTCTTTACACCATTTATAAACAGTATTTTTTTTATTATAATTTGAGCATTTTCCTTATTTTCTATATAATTATTTATTGTATTAGTAGTATAATTATTATTTTATTATTATCTTAAAATATAAAATATAATACTTACTTAATAGATAAATTATTAAATATATAAT